GCAAAAAAAAAGAAGGCAGTCAGGTAGAGATATTCTCTTTGATTTCACTAAACACAGAGAAATGTTGGGGTACACTCAGGTAGGAAGCAGAGACAAGCTTATCTTGCCAAAAACTTTCCTGTTTTCTCTTAATCAGTAAGACAAACAAGAAGACACAAAGAAAAAACTCCCTAGAAATCCCTTCCTATGAACAACCTTTAGAGCACCCTGCATTTACTTCTTTCCTTCCACTTGAAACTTTCAACAAAAATAAGTTAGACTGTAAAAAAGATATTATGGAAAAGTCATGACACAATGCCAAAAGTATCAATGAATGTTCTTCACCTGTAATTCAATGGAACTAACACATGGACATATCTTGATATTAAGCTACTTTCAGGTTGTTCCCTAACATAACTGATTACTTAAGAAACATTTCTAGGATATGCAAACATATTTTTGATGAAGGGAAGAATGCAGTTTCCTACACTGAATCCCTCATGTTCTGAGCACATAGCCTTAATTAAATTTTTTTGTTATTATTTTTAATTTCTAGCACTGTATCATAAATTACACTCCATCATCAATAATTGCATCAAATAAATATGGGATTGAAATACCTGAGTGCCTATGAGAAGTTCCAAATTAATCTAACTGGAAAGTGAGGCAATTTTTTCTACTGAGCAGATGGTAACACTTTAATTCTCCTACTTTCCCAGCCAGTCTGCTACAAGCCTCAACCAAAATTTTGATCCAAATGCTGCTGAAGTCAAGGGGAAGGTTGACATTGACTTGAGTGAGCTTCAGCTCAGCACAGAATTGCAAAATTTCAGTCCTCATGGATCTTTAGGACAGTTGACAAAGGTGTCTGAGAGCAACAGCAATGTTCATTTTGTTATGGTAACACCTGTCCAACTAGAACTAGACCAAGAAATACTTCTTTTCTATTCCCCATGAAACACCCACGGACACCCACAGACAAAATCTCTTCTGTGTTTGAAACTGACTGAAAAGCCAAAAAAAAATTTTTTTTCCATCTCTCCTACTCTTTATTTCATTTTCTTCCAATTTAAGAATCAACACTAGAGAAATGCTTTCCACCAACAGTAAATGAAGTTCCCACTCTTGCAGTTTCTTAATTCTGATCAACTTTAATCAATTGGAGCTCCTAATCCATCTCTGAAATATTTTTTCACCAGTTAAACATGCACACAGCACTTTGTGAAAGTACTACAATTAGCATGCAACATTTTTTAAAAGCCTTTGAGTAAAGCTGCTATCCTCAGTTACACTGAAACCCTGGTGAAGTGTAAGACACTGTCTTTGCTCACTCTACATGTCAGGAATTCACAGCTACAGGTTTAGGAGCACATTTCATGTTTATAAGCTGAAATGTGACTGACTGGTCTCTTTGTTATTTAGTTAAAAACTAAATTCACAGGCATTTCAGAAACAAAATTTTTGCTTGTGATTATCTGAACCCAACTTTGAAAGAACTTTTACGCTGTGCATGGAACAAATTTGCACTGTGTATGGAACAAATGTTTCCAGAAATTTCCACAGCATGTCAATATACTCATTGAAGAAGAAAATGCAGATTGAAAAATGGAATTGCACACAGCACAAAAGATCAAATTATATTGCAAAATTATATTCACTGAAGGTTATAAGCATCATTTTACACATTAGAGGTCAATGTGAAGGCACTGCAGCAAGCACACTTACTGTCTTCTGCTACATGTGAGGATAACTTCTGCTGTAAAGTATCAGTGTTCTACTGCTAATGAAAGAACATGATTAAGTTGTTCACAGTTTTTTACCAAGTTCTCTGTCTCACCCAGTCTATCTTATGTGAAAATAAAATACCACTGCAACTTTCTGAATCAATTAGTCCACTTAAAAAGCCATACAACAAAAATACTTCAATAGTTGGAGCTGCAGTTTTTACTGAAGGTACTGATTAGTGTTGTGATCATCAACACAGGAACAGAATAGTCCAAATCTGTGGAATTTAGAAAACACGATCAGGAGAAGTTTTTCACAGATGATTATTTTGTAAAACACTTAAAAAGAAGTTCCACAATCTTCAGTGGACTATGTCTCAAAAATGAATAAAGATTTCTTTAGAATACTAAACTCCCAGCTCCATCGTTTCATTAAAGAATAATTAATACTACTACATACTCAGCTGATTTATTTTTCTGCAGAAAAGACAAGAATCTCTCTCCTGGCCTAGGTGTGGGCAAGAAAAGAGAAAGTGAAAAGGCTGTACTTTTCCTCACTTGTTCACATTTAAAATGCTACTATAGATGATCATAGAATGATGGATGATGAAGGATAAATGTCAAGAAATCGAAGAATATGTGCTTTTGTTGATAATAGCACCTTAGAAAATCACCTTCCCACACAGGAACAATTTACAAAGCCTCATGAATTAGATAGGCTGAAGCAGCACAAATCCAAATATTATATCTTATTTAACTGTAACTTTAGATCTTCCAATTTCTTAAACAAGTTTGTAAGTATGTTGCAAAATAAACAGGTCACCATTTGGAAATGGATACTATATTGGAAAGCACAGAAAAATTGACCATAAAAAAGAGGAGAATAATGAAATTAGATGAAAACATCCTATGAAACTGTGAAGGTCATGAACCTCTACTTCTGAAACAGCTTTTAGGAAACATTTTTGAAATAATAGGGAAAAAAGAGTCATAAAAACCTGCTTCTGTAAATACTTGGTTTTTAAGGCAGTTTCCAGCACACATTATAGAGGTTTGATAATGCATCTGTGTTCAATTTTTGATTAAAGAAGGTGGGACAAAAAGAAACCAAATGAATATCTTCCACCTATAACCACAAATAAACCTAAAACTTGGATTGTAAAATTACAGCTGTATCTCCCGATCGTGTCTAAAAATTGCACTCTAAAATGGAACAGTATCTATTATAATAAATAGTTTGAACTCCAGATTAATGAGACCTGAAGTACTGGTCAATAAAAGAAATAAAGGAACTCTAATGGAAAAGACAGCTAAAACTGTTTCACTTCCAGCAATGCAAACATTTTCCTGCATCTTGTCAAACACAATCAATCCTTTCCCATCTTTCACAGAGATCTGTGAGATATCACTTAGGTCCCTAACCTCGCAGGAAGCTGAAAGGCTCAGCTTGTTTTGCTGTGGTTGAACTACCTCTGAATGTTACTTCCCAGACCACAGGATTCCCTGTGTAAAATCAAGCCTGCTCTTCCCCCATTCCCTTCCAGGCAAGGACAGCCTTAGCTGGCAGACAGGCGGGCATCCTCGGCGAGGCAGAAACACAGGGGAGCTACAGGGAAGTGACAAACATACAAACATTGTTTGGTAGCTACAACAAGCTGAAAAATATCCTGTGACCCAGACTGATTTGCAGTTCATGTTTAGGGAGAGAGAAGCAAAACCTGACTAGTTTGAAAGCACAGTGTACAGCCTATTGCATTATTAAAGGTAAAAATTACAGCTATTACTTTCAATATTTTTATGCAAGCTTTCTCTTTAGCAGATTAGAAGAAACAGTGTATATCTATAGCAACCAGGAGAGAGGAGGGAGGGATAAATCCAGTCCAGACCATTTCTGCTTAAAACCTTGCATCACTACCTTCACTATAGCATAATAGCTCATTTTTATTGCCACTTGACTGAAACCTCATTACAAACATGGCCAGCTGATTTTAATTCCTTCTTAATAAACAGAATGTTTATGAGGAAAACTGCACTGACGCCCCTGTGGTAGGTTTCCTTTGTTTCCTAAAGTAATTTGATTTTTCTGTCTTAGAAAAAGATTTCTCAGGGACAGTTTGTTTAGCTCTCATTCTATGATCTCCACAACATACTGTGTAGGTATTAAATTGGGAAAAAATACAAAATTCTCTAAGTTATGACCTTCTTGACTTAAAGTGAGCTTCAGGAAGATATCGTAAGTGAATTACGATGGACTGTATTAATAGATATTAATATTAATAGACATTTCAGATCAGCATACAGTCCTGAGTGTCTCACTGCAAGGAAAGGACTGCCAAGAAGAGTGTCACTGGAGAATTGCATCGATCTTAAAACACACAGAGTTTGTTTTCAGGATCCCTTCGTGCTAGTGTGGGTCATTTCGCAGGTGGGGATGTTCAGTGCAGATGGTACGTTCTAAAAGAGGAAGGGATTGGCAGAGAATACCTCAACAGAAAACAGTGTTTGATGGTCTGCACTGGGGATTTTTTGACAACTCTAAAAGAACCTTAACCCGGAGCCACTGCTGATTTCCATCTCCAGCAGAAACAGTTGGGGGGGTATACCAGCAAAGGCTGCATGTGGGGGGTTGTAGCCCGGAGATTTTCTATCTCTTCCAAATATAAGTGCAGTTCAGCTGAATCCAGTAAACTGGGAGAACGGTTATATGCGTGGAAGCTGGAAGCATTTTCGGGGACTCGGCACTGGCGCACCTCGACTCTGGGGGCCCCGTGAGCCTCCGCGGAAGTTTTCAGCGTGTGGGGACGGAGGGTCAGAGCGGCCCCGCTGAGGGATCCCCGAGATCCCGCCGGGGCAGGGAACGCGGGGGGAGCGGGAGGTTTGAGGGGCCGGGAGCCGGTCAGGAAGGACCGAGGGACGGGGACAGCCAGCGGGAGCCCGTGCTGAGGGACAGGAGGACGGGGACAGTCAGTGGGAGCTGGTGATGAAGGAGGGACTGGAGGACGGGGCCACTCAGCCGGAGCCGGCAGCGAGGGACTGGAGGACGGGGACAGGCAGCGGGAACCCGTAGTGAGGGACCGGAGGACGGGGCCCCTTATCCGGAGCTGGCGGTGAGGGACCGTAGGACGGGGACAGTCAGCCAGAGCCAGTGATGAGGGACCGGAGGATGGGCCCCTCACCTCCCACGGTGCGGGCGCGGCCGCCGGGGCCCTGCCGAGCCTCCTGCGGGGAAGCCCCCGGGCTCCAGCGGAGGACGCGCTCCCCGCCAGCCCCGCGCCCCCTGCCCCTCGCCCCACTCACCGATCCGCGCCTCGGCGGCGGCCCCGGCGGAGGGCGGCTGGACGCGCGGGGCGGCGGCGAGCACCTGCAGCGGCGGCGGCGGCGGCAGCAGCAGCAGCAGCAGCAGCGGGAGGACGGAGCCGAGCGCGCCCATCATGCCTGGCCCATCGCACGCCCCGCTCCCCTGCCCGCCGCCGCCAGCCCTCACTCCATTGCCGCCCAGCCCGCCCGGTGCCTCCCGCGGCCGCTCCCCGGCTCCGGCAGCCGCAGCAGATTCAACACCCAGGACAGCGACCGGCACCGCCCGCCCGCCCCCGGCCCCGCCCCGGCCCGGCCCGCCCGGCCCCGCGGCGGGGGGAGCGCTCCCACTGCCCGCTCTGCCCGCCCCGCCGGGACCGCGGGAGGCGGCTCCGCCCGGCACGGACAGCGCTGGGGCTGCCCCCGGGCACGGACAGGATTGCAGCTCCCCCCGGCCCCACACGGTCCCTGGCCCTGGCGGAGGCCGGGATCCTGCCCGCCAGAAGGGCGGTTCGCTCGCATCCCCCGTAAAGATGGCTGGGGATGGGAAGGGAGTTGCTAAATGTGCTTGTTCCGCACACCTGTGCAGGAAACAATGGAGCCATGCAGGAGCAGTGGCCATAAACTGAAACACAAGAAGTTTCACCTCAGCGTGAGAAAGAACTTCTTGACGCTGAGGGTGGCAGAGCACCGGGACAGGCTGCCCAGGGAGGTCGTAGAGTCTCCCTCTCTGGAGACATTCCAAATCCACCTGTAAGCGTTCCCGTGTCACCCACTCCGGGTGACCCTGCCTTGGCAGGAAGGGTGGACCTCCAACCTTCCAGAGGTCCCTTCCAACCTCAACATTTCTGTGATTCTGTGAAACCAGTTGACTCTGTCAAAGTTTTGTCCTGACACATGTGGCACCTGGGTGGATCGTCCCTGTGGCCTCCTCATCAGTGGTATATTTACTGGCCATCCTGAAGGATTTTATGAGCCCTCAGGTAAACACCTCTGTGAGTTTGCCTGGGAGGTGTCCACATGGATGACCTGTTCATCCTCTGCCTCCTGTCCCTGATTCACTCCATGTGTGTGGGAGCACCGGTCCAGGCTGCCAGGAGGGATCAGGAGACTCAGGCACAAACCCATGGACTTCCTCCTGGTTCACAGGTTCTCGTTTTCTCATGAACTTGTAACAATACTTAACCATTAACGCAGCAGTCACAGCCACTGAGTTGGAACAGCACAGGTGCTGTGTCTCCTGGCAGGGGATGTGTTTTTGACTGGGACAGCCAGGTCTGTGCCACACTGAGTGATGGCTGGTCCCAGCCCCCTCTGTCAGTCAAACATCTGCTTTATTCCTCCCTGAAGTTTCAGATTCTCCCAACCTTCTTCAATACTTCAGCCAAACAGCTCTAACTATACCTGACATGCTCCAGCCCTGGCTTTTACCAGGGACAGTCATGACAGATTCAGTCTCAAGCTAAGTAAAGGTACTCAAGGACTAAAAGTTGTAATACATGAAGTGGCTTTGCCATAGACCAAAAAAATAAATAACAAAAGCCCACAGAACAGACTAACCCTGGAAGAACACAGACATTCCTCCTTGCTCACCTCAAAGGTGGCAGAGACTACAACACCAACAGATCCAGGCCAGGATTGACACAAGTCCAGCTACCATGTTGGGACCAGCTGTGACTTGCCACAGTGTATCAGCCAAGCCTGGGGACTCAGTCAGTGCTTTGCCCCAGGCTTGGGGCAGGGGGAGAGGCAGAGAACTCGTGGGGGGCATGAAAGCCACAGCTCCTGGTGCCCTGACAGGCAGTTGCAGACTTCTCTTTCTCTCTCAGTTTTGCTCTGTGGGAAAAGCCTGAGCCTCTGTGTTGGGGAAAAGGAGTCATGGCTTCTAGAGCTGGTGCAAAGGCACCTCCTTTCCTTTGTGGTTAAGGCTGGTGAATCAGATGCAAAAAAGGGGCTACATATGATTCGGAAAACAGAAATTTCAAAAAAATATATTGATACTGGATGGTCTGTTCAAGCATTTCTGTCCTTGAGGTCTGTTACATGACTGCTTACGTCTTGCAGGGGAGTGGTTTCACTAAGCCAAAAGGTCTCTTTACCTCAGGAAAATCAATTTTGACGACTGAAAGAAATCTGAGCACTGAAAGGGGAGAAACAGAAAAGAAGGGAAAAGCATTCTATGGAAAGGACAAGATGAGAAATGAAACTGCTGAAACATAAATTAGTATATTCTCATGGGTTATGCAAACCATCTGGCTTTAAAAGCTAGTAGTAGGAACAAGGAAAAAGGTCATTGGAATTAGCAGAGAACTGCAAAACAACCGAAGGTAAGAAAGGAGCAAATGGCAGACACAGCAAGAGAACAAGTTGTACGTCAAAATACAAAATAGCAGGGATATTATTGGAAGTCCTTGCAGCTCTGCAAGGAATGATTTGCATAGCTCCTGTGAATTTATGATCAAATACCATGCAGATTTTAAAAGGAAATTAAAATTCTTGTACCCACTCCGTGCAGAGGATTAGCAAAATAATGACATTTGTACAAAAGCATATGAAGCAATGTGAAAAATCAAGACAGAAAGGGCATTCATCGAAGACAGGAAGAAATCCTTGAGTATACAAATTTAGCAAAGACAGTGTGAGTCAAGTGTCAAGGAAAGAGTAAAGAGTCAATTGGTAGGTGAATTAGGCATTTGGAAATAACTCAAGTAGCAAGTCTCAGGATTGGAGAGTGTAAAGCATTTCCCACCTGGTTGTATTTTACAGTTTTATAGGAGGCTGCACCTTAGAAAGATACACAAATCTGTCTTAAAACCTCAGGAGCAGGCAGATTGAAGTCAGTGGTATTAGGTATAATGAATTTTGTTAATGGTGTGTAAAAACTGCAAGACTTGAGTCTGTGTGCAAATTAGATTAATAACAGTATCACAGTGTAAATAACATGTCACATGCAAGCTACTTGCTGGTTCACAGTCGTTTTCAAGACATTTCTCAGTGCCAAGGTTTTTAATAGTTTGTATAATAAATTAAGCATCCATGTTTAGGTCTACCAACCTTGTGAGTTTGTTTTGATTGTGGTTTTTCTTATCATGTTTTTAATAAGTTTCTGAAGTGTGGAAAAAGAAATCCTAAAGGGTGCAACTCATTTGTGAAAATTACTAGAAAGATTAGAAAAATTACTCCGTTCCTGAAGTCAGGGGTGTTGTGGGGCTCAAACAGAACTGTAGGACTTGATAGTTCTGAAAAAGGGATAGAAGAGGATATCAGCAAGTGACTTCTGGAAAGGTATATTAAAATCTTTTTGGTAAGGGATTCTAAACTAGCAAAGATATTGAGTGGTGGCTGAGAGGGTAAAATATCAGCTCCCTCTTGGTAATGTGTCTGGAGGTGAATGTGATGCTGTATGAAAGAATGACATTGGAAATTATAGATCTGCAAATTTCAGCACAGCGAATAACATATTGAAGTTTAGCATGTCCTTAATTGCTGGAGCTGAATCTTTTTATGATACCCATTTAGATGTGAAAAACATGCTAGGCAGAGTGAAAGAAGAGCTGGATAATCCATATGATTTTATGCATATGAAAGATTTACATCCTTATCCATGGTAACCACAGCTGAGCAGGAGTTTTTCAAGGAAACACTTTTCTGTTTGAAAATGCTGTGTTGTCTGACTAAGGTTTTTCATGAGAAATATACGTGTTCTAATCAAAAATCCACTAGTAAGGGCCAGAAAAAAAGATCCAGAAGGGGCCAGAAAAGATCCCAGAATGCCTAATAGGCCCAGCAGCCAGAAAACATGTGTAGCCAGATTTTAAAGGTTCAAATTTTTGCTCTGGTTGATTCAAAGACATGAACTAACCACTGGATATTTAGGTCAGCCTCCATCTCAGTTTCACTGGGCCGTTCAAGATTAAAAGGAAACAGCCCTGCTAGAGAAGACCTTAGTAGTCTGTAGTTTAGTATGGAAGAAGCAAGAGGGTGAGTATAGAATTTATTTTGTTAATACTGTTTAGAATTAAATATTAGGAGTGGGGTATTAATAAGCTGGAAATTGAATTATTGATAGAATTTTTTAGATATGTAAGAACAAAAGGTGCCAAAACTACAGGGACCAAAAATTGGGTGGGTGTAAAAAAGAAGAAAAACACAGAATTCTCTTAAAGTAGAACATTGCCAGAGAATCATTTAGGCATGAAGATACACAAAGGGAAAATACTCTTAATACTTACATACTTATAAGTCATTGTGATATGAATAAAATGTTGTAAACAGGATTAAAATAATACAGGATAGTTAAAGGCTAAGTATAAGAACACCACAAAGGTAGTATCTGAGTCTTACTGTGTATTTAGCTACTGAGGTCATGTTTGAAAGCTTTTGCAGGTCTGTTTTTTAATGACAAATGGGAATTATATAAATACAAGCACAGGTACATCTTTGTGATTGTAGAAATTGTATCTGTGTATTTGTACAGGACAGAACTGCACGTTTTGTCTATTTGCCAGTTTATCCAAGTATAAAGAAGAGCCTGAACAAAAGGTCAGTTCCAGCTATGCTAATACACTCTACCTGCACAGACAAACAAGCCCTTAAAGAAAAAAAACACAAACACTAAAATTACCTTCTTCATTTTCTTTCTTTCTCTTGTCACCGTCATCCACCCTTCCCCAAATCAAGACTTTCGAGCAGGTTATTGCAGATCATTTGTCCTGTTAACTGGTCCAAAGCCCACAGGGAACAATACCTTTCAGGCAGTTTATCTAAGTTTCAGTAACCCAGATATCTTGGCAGAGTTTTAAGATGTACTGGGGAGTTGTGAGGAGTGAAAGAGGAGGGAAAGAGATAGAAAGGGTTGTTCTATATCCATCTCCAGACAAGACAGAATTTATAATATTTTATTATTTACATTTTGTGGCTTAAAAGGACATAGGTAAAATATTCAAAGCCTGTAGATGTATCTACAGCCACAAATGGAGATTTTGCAGGCTCTGCTGCCCATGTAACCTTCCCCACACTTTTCCGAGGGCACAAAGAGCTGGTTGAGCAGCGGGAAGGCTCCTGCACCTTGTTTGTGAGTTGAGGGTTTCTTTCGCAAGACTGTGAAAAATGAGGCCAGAAAAAACATCTCTAGAGCCACCTCTTGCAGTACCATGGTTACAAGAGGAGCAGCAGTGATTGCCACTTTGCACTTTGTTGGTGTGAGCAGTCACAGACTCTGGGTTAGCAGCTTGACAAGCGTTGGACTCTCTCCAGGGTGATCTTGCAAAGACA